AGACAGACAACCAAGCACACTCACATTCACACCTACGGACAATTTAGAATCACCAATTAACCTCAACATGTTTTTGGACAGTGGGAGGAACCCGGAGAGAACCCGCGCTGCATGGGGAGAACATAGAAAGATCCCGTGTGTCCTCAACCGGCGACCTTCTAGTTGCGAGGCAATGGTGCTAACCACTGCTCCACCATGCAGCCACTGTGGAAATCAAAATGTGCAACCAAAGTTGTATAAATAATGAGGAAAGCGTAGATCAGAAATCTGAAAATGTTCCGTCAGTAAAGCTGACTGTATTATCCTAGTTTCTCCTTGATACGCTGTTGGGTGTGCATCACGGACAATGATCACAAATTAAAACGGAGTTGTCCAAAATCAAACAAGTGAGCCAAGAAGCTGCTTAAAGCTAGTAAAAGATAAGCTCCTTAATTTTGTTCAGGTGTCTCCAAACTCAACACTTTGGCAAGCATGACAAAGCATCGCAGAAGACTAAGAAATATAACCTTTCGTAATTGTGCCTCTATTCAAAACACATCTTAAGGGCAATATAACAAAACTGTGAGTAAAGTATGAAGCCATAGCATGCTGCGTTTTATGTGCTAGCTCAAAAAGTTTTGTTGTTGTTGTTTTTTTAAAAATATTTTGTCAGTAATTTTCTACGTTGTCCTAAATTCTACTTAATCACTAGTGTGCAAATTTGCACTCCCACACTTCTGGGATGAGCAGAAGCGGCCTGGACTCCAAAAAAGTGAAATGCTTCAAAATGTTTGTGTGTGTATTTCTCTGTACCTGCATCCTGTTGAGACGAGGAGCTGGTCATAGCTCTGGGTAGAACCATCATTAAATGTGACTGTCTTCCTGTCAGTGTCCACCGAAAGTGCCTGCAAACACAGCAAGAGTTCACAGTGTGACCTATAACACTGAAACAGGATGAATCTATCCACACTCAGGTCTCAGTGCTTTCACTGTTTGAAGAAGTCAGTCCCAGGACTAGATGAATGTGTTGTTCATTGTCCAGAGGAAAATTCACCTCTCAAGGCATGTGCAGACAATATTCTGCATCAGGAAGAACACAGCTCACCACACCACATGTAGGATGCTGCTACCAGTACTCACTTCTTTCTTGAGCCACACCTCAATGTCATACTGATGGAAAAACTCCCTCCTCCTCAGCAGGATAGTTTCACTCTCCACATTCATTACCTACGAGATGGGCACAGGTGTGGGGCTTTAGGTACTCGAAGCGAACTACAAACTCACACACATGTTCATCACTAAAATGTTGCTTTTCTTATCATGTTGTTTACTCTGCAGCACCTTGCTCAGACGGGTTTTGTCGTAAGGTAAAAGGTCGTCCCTGGTCACCATGATGATTCTGCCACCAAAGTTTTGCTGCCGCAGAATCTCAGCGCACATCAATGAGGCAGCTCCTGCACTTACAGAGAGGTGAGACACTGTCACTGTCGCTGAAGAAGCAGCCTGATTTCCCAGATTTGTGAAGTGTTAGACAGTTAACAGTTAAAAAAAACGCCACATTTTCAATTTATAGTGATATTACCACAAAAAGCAACATATCTTGATATTTGGGCAGCTGGAACCAGAGAATATTAAGTAATTCTGCTTCGAATGTGGCTTAAACAAACAACTTCAATATAGTCACTGATTACTTTTCATGATTACTGGATTAATCAATATGTCCATTCACCTTTCAGCCAGGTTGTTTTCTGACTTCATCACAGGCGCAACATTGCTATTGTAAAGCTACAGTCACTTTGTTCAAGCTTGAAATGGCGGCATCATACACAAAGACAAAGACACAGACGCTGGTCCACACTCACCTCCTCCCAGCAGCAGAATCGTGTGAGTGACTCCTGGTACTGATGTTCCCATACTCTTTATTCTCTTTTGTTGCCTGAGAGACTGAATTATGTATGTAAAAACAACACTGTCATACAAACTCAACAAAAGGAAAAAATGGCAGTTTTACAAATGAAATTAATCGAAAGAATATGTTTTAATCAACCAACAATAAAGCCCACTTAGAGTACTCCTATACGTACTTATAACAGAGTTGCATTAGATTACAAAAGGGAAAATGTTATTATTTACTACAGGTTTCCAATTAGTGACACGTTAGCTCAAGGCTCTAATGACTCCCCCTCATTCAACAAAAAGTGTTGGTACAAAACGTAAAACAATTTTTACAGGCTCGTACACTTTGCTGTTTTGAACACAAAACGTTGCATCACTGTCTAGAGTGATGCAGTGAGACAGCATCACCGCTTTGAGAACCTGTAACATCAAGTTATAAAGAAAAGATAACTTTCTTACCTTTTTATTAACAGACACATACACTTTGCTGTTTTGAATATTGACCTGCAAAAGAGGGCAAAAACCAAATTAAATTGACAGAGAATGTCCTCGTGAGGTAAACGTGCGTCTCTGTGGGTCGAACCTTGTGACAAGGTAAACTGTCTATGCCCGGAAATTCCTCCATGTCTCCTGTTTGGACGTTAAAACAGGAGCCGTGCCACGGACAGCGCACTCTGTGGCCTGAAATGACCCCTGAACACACAGAAAGACTCTCATCATTTACATGCTCTGTGCTCATGCTGATATTCAGCACAGGCAAATACAAATACAAAGACAAACTTATAAACTGCAGAAACAGATCGGATAAAAGGCCTCATAAAGAAGCTGTGCTGCTCTGGAGCTCCTGGAGACGGCTGTTGAGACAGATGTTGCACAAACTGCTCGACATAAAGAACAACACTTCACATCCTCTGCTTGACCTCCTGATCAGACAACACAGTGTTTTCAGTTGGAGGCTTCTTCAACATCTTTTCCTCTAAAGACTTTGCACATTGTACTTTAATTCCCACATTCCACATGACAGCTTTTGTCTTGCCTCATTGTAAATCCTCTTATTAATAATCTATCTATCTATAATCTATTTTATTTTGGCTCTTTAAAAAAGAAACAAAAAATCTATGATACATATTGTAAAATAGCTATGCGGCAGTTTTTAGAAGGGTGTCAATAAATTACTCCATGCATGTTAATCTATCTATGAAACCTGTGTACTTTGCAATCATTCTTTCTGTTCAAAGACCATTTTTGTGCTCACAGAGAAGACCAATAAAGACTGAAATGCACCTACGTGGAGTCATATACACAAAAAATGAAACATCTTCTTTATCTTTTTTCTTTCTTTCTTTTTTTTTTTTTAATCTATGATGCTATATATCACATCTATAATATATTACATTATTATTCTGAGCCTTTGAGGTCTGTGCTGCTCTTTAGGTTTCCACCCAGCTTGCACTAATGTAATATAATATATTATATAACCATCATCGTACTGAACACAGCTGAGCATGTGGGGTAGCTATTTTAGTCTATCCCAAGTCCCTATTTTCTATTCTATTACTCTATGTTGTCTGTTTTGTTTTTGTATAAAACCTTAGCCTTTGATTGCATTGTTTAGAAGATATTGTAATATTAGAGTTTTTATTTCTGTGATTTATGTTAAGAGGTAGCTGTGACACTATCATTTCCCTTTGAAATAATAAAGAACTCTGTTTATCTCAGAATTTGAGGTTGTGTTCATCTTGTCCTACCTTTGCTCAGCGGAGCTCCGTAGTGTGTACACTGGTTACCAATAGCACTGTATTTGCCATCAGTGCGTGCCAACAGCACAGTGTGACGTCCCACTTCAACCTCCATCATCCTGAGATAAAACACACACACACACACACACACACACACACACACACACACACACACACAAAGAGATTTTTATTTATATGCATTTTCAAACTGCTTTTTAAACTTGTATTTCAGTGTTGTATATGCGATCTTTGTATTGAAAGTGACTTTTAGGTATGAATTTTTACTTTTTATTTTGTATGGATGCAAGTGTCAGTCTGTCAGTCCAACACGTTGGTCCAGACTTGAGTATTCTTATAACTACTGGATGGATTACCATGAAGCTTTATGCAGACATGCATCATCCTCGAAGAATAAATCCTGTAGATTTAGACATTCCCCTGACTGTTCCCCTAATGTCACCACAAGGTTTAGATTCCTGATTTGCTTAGGTTGAATATTTTTAAGACATTTTTATGCTACAGACAATCATGTCCTCCTCAGGATGGATTGTAATAATCTGATGAACCCCTCCCATGCTAAAATAAACGTGTCAGAAAATACAGCAATTTCATCAAAAAGAAATGTTTATGAAATTATGATAGATGTGTAAATGTATTTTTTTCTTATGTAAATAATTTTCCTTTAAAATGAAACTGTTATGGTTATTTAGAGTTACATTATGTTATTTTACATTAGACATGTAAAGTCATCGTCTGTTATTGTATTTGTAGCACATTAAAAAATATATAAAAGTCTTTAAAGTAAAAAGGACATATATGTAACACTTTTTTTTTCTTTTCTTTTAAACAGTTTGAGTAAATGTGCAGATTTATGCTTAAAGGTTGTGAACATGCCTCCCTCCCCTCCTTACTGTCCATCCTGCAGGTCTGACTCCACACACACCTCCTCTGTCAGCTCCTCTGATGAGTCCTCTGGATCAGAGTCTGGAAACTCATCGCGGGCTGAACAAACAACATCCAAAACAGTTAAACAAACTACATCACTGACCTCAAACTCCTCAGGACACATCATTGTTTTCAGTTCAATAAACTTCGGGAAAAAAACACCCAGTGCTTTGATTGATAAAATAACGTCTGATAACTGTTAAACTGTTGAATCAATACAATTAAAACCAGGCTACTCACGTGCTTTGGTCCTCGACATGTCTCTGATTCAACTGTTACACCACACAGATACACAGACCCCCTCCAGCAACATTAAAAGTCAGTCAGACGCTCAGCTGGAAGCAGTTTCAGCAGCAGTCTGAGGTCACTTTGTTTTCTGCTCAGCTGCTGAATGATGAGAGTCCATTTCCATGGCAACTGGTCCATCCCCAACCCGCATCCCTCGAGGCTGTGAAAAGTGTGCGATTTTAGACTTGATAAGACAAGCAAAATCACCCAAAAAGTTACTTTTGTGACTCCGTTGAATGAACAGTTTGGGTGCTGTGGCTGCTCACGTTCAGCCCCGTTATTGTTCCAGAGAAAGGAGATGGTGGTCTTTTGTTTTTCACAACGGCAGCAAAGAGAAAGGCTGACGAGGCTGAACACTGAATGGACAGATGACAAAGCACCACTTACAAAACCAGAGGTATCTGCTATCATTCATACATGATTCAAGGTTCAGCGCTGCAAAGCTCAAGGATTTAAAATGCTAAAGTTACTCATATGTGCTGTTAATATGTGTGAGGCGTGTTGGAAAAAGTATTTTGGTAACTGTATAAACATCACAGTGAAATGACTGAGGTCTAAGCACTGCACTTTAAAACAAACCTGTTGTACTTGCATCAGTTGAGTATTTTCTGTTGATGCCATTTTTCTTCTTTACTCCAATATAACAAACTCCACCAAGAACTTCATTGGAAACACATTTGCACTCATTCAATCCAACACAATGTCTCAACCTTGAATTCTACATTCATACAGTTTATTCATTTTCATATTTTGTTGACATTGTCAAAAAGATGCTCATTTTAGGTTTGTTATTAAGGTAGGTGGAGGTGTACTGGGCTATATTGAAAAGTGTTCCTAATATTTTGTTAATATGGTGGACAAAATATGAAAAAAATGCTTTCAAACAATGTCAACAAAAATTGAAAACATATTAGTGACAATATAACTGAAAATATAAATCTGAGCACATACAAGAGGTCAGTGATTTTTCATATAATTTTAGGAAATTAACCATATATTTAATCATTTTGAAGTTTAACTATTTATTAAATTAACTGTGATAAGGGTTTTTATAAGCAAAGGAACCAATCAATAGAAATGAATAAGCAGTTTAATCCACTATGAAATCAGCCATTCACAACAAACAAACAATAAACATTTTCACTGTTGCTACACTGCTTTTCCATCAGTCATTGATCTTCCCACAAGCATCAGCAAAAAGAAAGAAAGCAACTCTCAGCAACCGCTCAATGGATTACTAAGAAGGAAAAGTATTCTCGGGTTAAAAACAAAAACAAAAACAAACAAAACAAACAAACAAACAAAAAAATCACTTTGTCTAGTACAAATGTTTCCCATCAGCCGAACTGCACTTTGTATACGGTTATAATTAGCCAATGTCAGCATGCTAATGTTAAGCTAAGATGAACATGGTCAGCATTTTACCAGTTAAACACCAGAAATTAGTATTTGAGCTCAAAACCTCATGTGATTAGGTTTAGCCCAAGCAGACACCTTTGGTGCTGAAAAATGAGGCCAACGTGGAATTGCCAGAAACTGCAGTTCCTCAAATGGCTACTTGGGGCTGGCTCCAAAAGTTAATTTCCATATATCTGGATGCTGGACAACTTCACAGCAGAATAAAACATGTTTGCAGCCTTGTGCATAAACTATAGCTAACCTGATTATTAATGACAATTCAACAGAAAGTGACTTTTTATACAACTCAGCTGTCTAAGTGATGTTAGGGCTTATAGTTATGCATGCTTAAGGGTGTGGACGTGTTGAGTAACCGGTTTGTGTCTTCACAGGACAGTCCATGACTTAGAGATATTTAATGGCCCAGCCCAGCTCCACTCATGCGTCACCTCTTTGTGCATTTTTTGTGTTAACTGGGAGTTAGAGAAATCAGGCACTGCTAATATGGTGAAGGTTGTAAAAGCTTTTCAACATTGACTCATGGCCAGTTTAATTT